TCTCTCTCTCTCTCTCTCTCTCTGTGTGTGTGTGTGTGTGTGTGTGTGTGTGTGTGTGTGTGGGTGTGTGGGTGTACCAAGGAATTCTCCAATCCCTCCGCTCCCCTGCCCGTTTCGAGCCACCCAATCTTGGCAAACGATTTTGTTTGAAGTCACCCGATGTTGCCCCATGATCACGATCATTAATCTCGCCATTGCTGCCCTCCTCAGTTCTGACTGTCTGGCCCTGTGAACGGTACAAAAAAATCACCCTCTCTAATCCTCCAATCGACATCATTTTTTTGATAAGTGAGTACTCCATCTCCAGCTTTCTCAATCTCTCCATTACCGCTTTCCTCCCCACAGACATGTCTATCCTGAAGAGTCAGTGAAGAGTCAGTGAAGAGTCAGTGAAGACCCTCTTGTTGAGCTTCACGAGGATGTCCACAATTTTCACCCTCCCTTTTCACTGTTCTCTACCTGACTTACGTTCTGTTCACACTTTTCAGTGGCCCTCGGGCCCCCCTCTCCTACAGCGCCTTTCTATCTCCATACCTCACCAATGTCACCATGATCACCATTTTGAAGCCAGAAGTAATCCTGATCACGGCACTGGCGTATCGCACAGGCCCATCTTAGTTCACCTCCACACTGTCCACAGTTCCCACATCGCACGTGAAACTCCACTGGAACCCGCCGCTGTAGCCACGTACAAAGTATACAAGTCTTTCTCACGAGAGGTTGGGCCAGGGATGTAACGGAAAGGTCTCGCTCATGCGGCCTTGTTTGCTGCCACCAGGCTCTAGCTGTCGACCTCCTGATAACGAGTACAGTTCGGAGCCAACACTCGTTCCTCCAGGTTCTTCTTCTCTTTTTTTTTTTTTTTTCCCTTAAGCCCCTTTGTAAGCCCTCTATCCTGGCGGTGGTAAGAGAACCGTCCAAATTGAGGGCTTAATATCTATCTATCGGGCTGCTCCATCTATTGGTGGGGAGCAGCACCTGCTGAAAACCGGGTCCAGTGTCTCTCATGCAGCTAGCACACTGTCAACAGTGTCAGGAATGAAAGGGGGGCCCTGTTTGCGGCTTTACTTCTCCAGGGGCAAGGTCCCTCTTACACGGATTAGGAGATTTCGGCCGTTGATCTTGGCTATCTATGGTCTCCATCTCTTGATTAGTAGTGCAAGTGGGACCTAGCCCCAGGTGTCCTCTTGTTCCGGCCCTCTCCGCTGACCTGCTGTACTTATGCGGCGGTCACACAAGCATCCTTTACCCCAAAGGACCCACTTGGCATATGGACGCGAGCCCGGATCCGAAGTCAAGCCCCACAACAGCTCATTGCCCTAGTACTTTCCACTGAACGAATTTGCCGGAAGAAACGCTCCACTTGCTTCACATATCAGGATTGCCAAACGCCACATTATGCACTGACTCTACCGGGAGTCTACCCTCCCTTTCCAGCTGACCCCTCTCCCCTACACGATTCCTATTTTCTCCCGACAGGTTGCGGGAGGAAAAGAAAAGACCACATCCGTTGTCTTCTGCTCCTCTCTCTTCTCTCTGATCAAGATCCGGCCACCGCCAACTCACAGAGGGTCTGATCCCACCACTACACTACCAATGAGGGGGCAAAAAAGAGAAATTGTCACCAATTTCTCTACCCTCCCTTTCCAGCTGACCCCTCTCTCCATTGTTACCAAGGGTGAGATAGCTACACTACCAATGGGGGGGCAAAAAAGAGAAATTGAATCCCACAGAGTCCCTAAGGCTAAGGGTCTGATCCCACCACTACACTACCAATGGGAGGGCAAAAAAGAGAAATTGGATTCCACAGAGCCGATTTCTTTGGTGGTCTTCCTGTGGGGATAATCGGTAGAAAGAGCCCTCGCCGAAACCATTTCAATAAGAGCAGCGCCAAATTCTTGAACCGGTAAAAACTGGCCCACCAGGGGTATGCGGCCACGGCGCGAAGGCGCCTTGCCCCCCAGGCTGAAGACGTTTGGATGGGTAGTACCAAGCGGCCAACATTCGGGCACCCAAAACCGAAAAGGTTTTGGCGTGGGCTCTTTCTACCAATTATCCCCGTCCTTCCTGCGACTCTTTATGGGCCCCAGTTCAGGGCGGACGGTTTCATGGTGCAGGTTACCCCTCGCTGACGGACCTTGGACATTCCAACCTCTACAAACGGACAGGGGAAAACGGAAAAAAAAAAAAAAATCCCTTTTTTTCGTTGCAGTGAGGATGCCCTCTCCGTCTACACGAAAGCTGTTAGTATTTCCGTTTGCTCTCTTCGCGGAAGTGCTGCCACTACACATACACGGGCAAAATATTTCTTTCGGCATCCACGCGCCCACCTCAGAAATGTGTGGGATCTCAAAAGAACAGTGGACAGGGGCCAAGTACCTTTTACCCG